CACACACATAACACATATATATTATATATATATATATATATATATATATATATATGTGTGTGTGTGTGTGTGTTATAAAAAGTAAATCGGTTTCTAGGAAAACCTCTCATCAACAGTGGGGCAATAACTATCATCACATCCTCACGTGATCGGCAGCGAACGTGCTAAGTATTGACATTCAAATGAAATATAGGATTCATATAAATGTGTTTATATATAACTCTAGAAGCGTATACACGATTAAAAAAATATATAAATCTTATTTTATTTATGTGGATCTATTAATAATTTACAAAAAAAAATAATTACTGAAAAACATTTCTCGTAATATAATGATTATGTCTCTATATTGGCAAATAAGCGATCTACGTAATTTCAAAAATTGAAAACATAATCATAATTTTTTGAAACTCAATTCAACTTTTATCCATTATTCAATGCATTCATTGATGTTGGCTACTTAAATAATATATACCTTTTATTTGCTAATGAAAAGACTTCTTTAGTTTTAAAGATTTTAGAAGCGGAAAATTTCTAAAGTAATCAAGGATTCAAATCCGAAAAAACCCACACTCTAGGCACAAAAAAATATATGAATGCGAAAAACACAACAGATTTTAAAAAGGAAAATTTAATAATTGCTTCAATCTTCAAAATCAATTAAATATTTTATAACTTTTTAAACATTTTCTAGAATTGGCATATGGTTCTCAATTTTATAAAAATGTTCTTTATTGGAAATGAAGTTTTTAACAAATGGAGGACCTTCATAGAGTAGTAAAATAATTTTCAATGGACTTTTAAAATTGTTTTGAAGTATAATTACCACTGCCTTAGAAAGGGTAAAAATATATATTTTACTACCGCAAAAACAATACTTTCACTACGCAATTATAATTAATTATTCCAATTTATAATTGTTTCTGTTTATGGTTTTTTTAATTATAAATGTTTTGTTCTTTAAGGTGCTTTGTTTATGCTCACATACCATACTTGTTTTTATGTTTAAAAACAAATATAAAACTTAGTATAATCCGAAGCTCGGAACATACTCATATTCTTTTCTCGAAGTAATAAAAAAAAATGCATTAAGCAGTAACAGGTGTTCATTAGTGTGCAAATCTTTCTGTTTTTTTCCCTTTACACGATTTTTACCTGTTCTCATTCCTCAATTTAGTTTTAGATAGAAGAAAGAAGAAACACAGATCCATACAGAACGCTAGGATGGGAGTAAATAAGATTCTCCGTATCGCTTATATCACTATTCTTGTGATTATTTCATTACTGACTGGTAAGTGTAGAGCAATATATATGATATAGTTTTAATTTCTGTATAGTAGTAATCAAAACATTTATTAATATAACTTATGATTTTACTTCCAACTTTTTTTCATCAAAATGTTAAGACGGACATATCCAATGATGAACGACACTAAAGTTTTTAAAAAAATAGATATTTTTGTCTATTGAGTATAACAAAGCGGTATAACTGTTACTTATGAGTATAGTTTATTGTAAATATTTGCACTTTTAACTTCTGCTCAGTGAAAAAATTTTTGTTCATAATAACGTATTATTAAGTTTTTAAATTTTTTTGTCAATAAAGCATTGAATAAAACCTATCCAGTTTCGTACGAAATTAAGTTTTAAAAAAATATATTGTTAATATATTTTGCTCAGTGAGTTCCACAAAAAGACAAGAATGTAACCAATGAGTAAATAAATTTATCGCAAATTATCCTTAGTTTTTATCCTGCTTCTCTGGTTATGCAAATTTGTTTTCACTGGGTCCAACTTTTAAAAATGGCCCCCTAATCATTTTATTCGAAAGAAATTTAGCTCTTGTTTTTTTTTTACGTAAAGTGTTTTATACGTAAGAACACATTAGTAATCGCACAAAAATAGTCGTACTGTAGTTTTTGTTCAGTGAGCAAGAACCTTCCTCAAAACAGTGTCGAAACGCAAAATGCATTTGAGTTTCGACCAACACTGAGGCAAGTTCTCGCACGTATTTCCCAAAAACTGCAGGATGCCCATTTTTCCCAACTAATTGCCTTCAAATCACGCAGTTTAGTTTTATTCATAGCGAAGAATAATACAAAGAATACTGTTCAAACATAATGATTTAAAAAATTTTGTTTTATAATTTTTGCCTACTTTTATAATTTTGTAAGATTTTAAGTTTACAGTGCTAACATTTAAATATCCTCTTTTTAGAAGTAAATGGTGGTGTAGGTGCAGGTAGAGGTTCTGGTATTTGGGATGATATACATGCCAATGATAAAATGCACTGAAGAGGATTTTGAAAAAATCATAAAAAATATAATTAACAAGGTATCCTAACCATATTTTCATGTTTTTCATAAACTACTTTTTTTCAGAAACAAGGTAATAATATACAAGTCGCTCATAAACTGGATTTTTCTTATTGCAAATAAACAGTCGTTCTTACATAGTTGTATAATAAGCGTACCTCTTTTTAAGGCTTTTACGAACTGGGCCTTGAATTCGAACTTATTAGGAAAGTGAATATTTTACATGACGACGCTTTGTAATACAATCAATGCCTGGCAAAGAAAAGATGATGTCCTTAAAGCAAACTTAGTTGCGGTTGCGCGCCTGAAGACTAATGTATTTTTTTGAGGAAAATAGTGCTCTAGAGTGGTGGTAGCATTAAAATAAAAGCTTAACAACCACCCCTACCAATTCGCTTTATGAGAGAGAAACTAAACCTCACTGAGAAAACGTATAATGGTGTCAAGACGGTAGCATTGTGTAATTTATTGGGTGTCACATAGTGCGTCTGTTGGAGTAAATCTCTAACTGTGACAAGAAGGTTTTTATTTAAAAGAATACAAATAGTTCTGGAGGATAAAATCAGTTCTGGCTCTAAAAGTAGAATAAAAATCGCCAAAGCTTACACGCATGCTAGGGATAAGATTGGCCAAAAGGCAAAAAAGCTGAATTTCCACGCGAGTAAATTTTACACGTGTGCAATCGTTTAATAATTAATTCCTGACAATTTAAGATAATAAATAACAATGCGTTGACATAAAATTGTGCACTTGTTTATTATTATATAAATGATTACATCGATACTTAACATTTAGTAAAAAGTAAAATTACCAATTGAAAAAAATAAAGCCAGAAATTATATTTTTCTTCAGTTCACATAGGAGACAATTATTACTGCCTGAATTAACTTTTCATTTAACAAGTAATTATAGAATTTAATAAATTAAATTTAAAAAAAGAAAGAAACCCCAATTAAGTTGAATTTTTTGAGGTTCTGGTCTGGCTGGGTCAATAATGACCTTTTTACCATTCATCTTGAAATAGAGGATACATACGTGGAAAACTGGCTACAAAATTAGAGAAGTCCAAAATGAGTTGAGGAGAAAAATAGCACTTTGCCATGATGCAAAAAAGATCAAATGAAAGAGTGGAAGCCACCAGACTTCGCTACTAATTAAACCCGAAGGAACCTATCGGTCGACAGTAGAGTTTAGCTTCGCCAGACCCGTACTTGCGAAACATGCTTCAACCAAATGGGTTCAAACGCAAATGACCACCAGGTCGATGCAATCATCACGTTCTTTGGTCAAAGCAAAACAATTTACTACTGCCACCGTACCCGGTGTTTTCACGTTGACTGGATCGGGAAATTATTTCATCCCGATGTTCTGTACTTAAAACATTGATCAGTGAACGACGTCGCAGAAGTACTGCAGTCAACATTCTTGCGTCAAACGTCCACGAAGGGAGAGTGGAATCATCGCAGAAGAATACGGGGAATATCGACTGCTAGCTGCCGGAACTCTTGTGCTTCTTCCGCAAGGCTGCCTCAGAAGGTGTCAGGATCAGGAACGAAATTTATTTTCAGGATCAGGGATGATTTTTAAGAAATATAAACAATTTTTACAATAAATACTTGCGTAATACAATGCGTCGTCCTTCTGAGCCCAAGTCGCCGGGTTCGATCCCCGGCCCAGACACCGAATCTTCGGAATGCAGGAAGTTCTCAGCGGCCATGCCATATGATTATGCGGCATGTAAAAGATCCCTGGAGTGCCTTATTGGCTCTTGGCTTTTCCAGCAAATTTAAATTCATAGTGCACTTTAGCATCCAAATAGAGTCTCGGTGCTGCCATGTAGTGTGACAGAAACTAGACGTCCAAATTAACATGACCAACGGCATCTCACCCATTGTGGTGGTCCTGAAAGAGTGGATACCACCTCTTTAGAACGCACTAGGTCTGCGCACCGGCAAGACCGATTGTGCAGCTCATTGGAAAAAATTTTAAAAAAAATACTTTAATAAGTTAAGTGATAATTTACTCATATTTTTATTCGAAAAAGCTTGTTTAGTATGTCGTCTTTGAAAAATCTAATAGATCCAACTCATGTAGGATGATAAGCGTTCATATCGCCGAATACTCATGTCATTCACCGACATTATCAATTCAATTTAGATTTTTAATATTAATAGTTAAATTTCTTTTCTCTGAAAAGCGCTTTTATCTTTTTATGAACTTATAATCCAATTTAACTGTTTTGTTATTTACATATTTTAGCTATTTAATATTCCGTCATTAATATCATATTTTCTAGAATCCATTTATGCACCTCACAATACATTATTTCACAAACCAACTTACGGAAAAAATGGGTTTATAACATGATATGCAATGTTAAGCACCAAGAAAAAATTCACGCTATTATCGATTTTTACATAAGGTATATAACAAAAGCAAAAACATAAATAGTAATAATTATGAATAGGTTTTAGTAATTGAATGAAAAATTATTTTTTTAATTGAAAATTTAAATTTATATTCTAACGAAAATATAGGTATGTGAGGCTATATTATGATTGTTAATAAGATAACGTTTAAAATGTTTATACCAAGATCATAAAAAAAATTTGAGTCATAGTATAAAATAATGCTCTAAATATTTACTAAATCCGTATATTATTCTAAATTACTGTTAATAGAGTAGTTAAGATTCGATATTCGTTATAATATAACCAATAGAAAAAAACATTATTTTAGTTTCTGCGTAGCCTTACATATCATAATTTAAACTGGGATTTTAAGAAAAGTGATTGTAATGGAAAACTCTTTAATGATTAAAGTAAAAATGAAATGAAAAATAATAAATAATGTTTGGGTCAAAATATTCATTAGTAATACTTTGTTTCGCGGGCATTGCCCTTAAAAACATTTGTCAGAGCAATTATTTTCAATAGCTCCGAATTTTTTTTCTTAAATAGAGAAAAATTGTCAATTTTAAACTAATTTAAACATTTTTTAATTTATTGCAAACCTAAACCTGTGAAACATTCAATACCTGTGTGAGAACTAAAGAAACACCTTTTAGTATTAATGAGAATTTTTTTACCACTACTGAATTTTCCAAGAACCATAGGGGCCCTAATAATCACTAAGCTGTTATGTCTCTATTGAAATGCAAATTAAGGTAATTTTCAACCGTCAAAACAATCTTTCTTATTTTTTATATTAATATATATATTCATATATAAATATTTCTTATTATCATGTATATTAAAATTACTTTTAACCTTTTTTTATACTGAATTTCTAAAATAAATTTTTATTTTTCAGATTTTGGAATTTTTCTCCGGCACAATATTTAACCATGTGGTTTCAAGATTATTATGGTTCAACATAACGAAATTATATATGTGTATAATTATAAATTGAAATAAAGCTATAGATTTCCAGTCCGTTAAATTAGATTTCAATTTTGATTACCTGTCAGTTAAGTTTCTAGAAAATAAAGTCAAGAATGTGAGCAAAAAACAGTGTTAGCAAAAATATTAAATCAAATATCAAAATATCGAGTATTTTTTTAAATTGTTATATTGGATATATATATCAAGATTTTGAGATATATATCATAATTAGTTTCAAAGAAATTTGACAAAAAAATAATATTTACATTATTCTGTACTGTTCTGAACTATAATATTAATAAAGGAAATACCTATTAATGAAACTTCATTTAGTCGAAGCCAAATCTTCTTATAATATATCATTATATCAAGTTCTTAAATCCTAAGATCCCCCAGATCAATATCCTAAGTGTTTTAATTTGAACAAAATATTTGGTTCTTAAAATTGTGTAATCCTCTATTGGCGTATACATGATTAACAAATATATAAAAATCATATTTTATTATTGTAGACCTATTAAGAATTTCGTAAAAATATAAAATTAACTGATTTAAGTATTCAATGTTGACAGATATGAATATATCGGGTTGAGTAAAAAGTTTTCCGCCAAAAAAAAAATCCTGAAAAATGACAAACACATACAAAATCAGCAAAGCTAATGAGAATAGTTATCTCCATTCAAATCAACAATAGTCTGCCAACGTTTTGGCAACTTTTCATTCCCTTCTGTGAAGAACTGGGGGGTGCGCGAGTAGAGAAAGAAATCGACCTCATTTATGACCTCGTCATTTGAACGGAAGATTGTGACATCAAGATGCAGCTGCGGATTTGAAAACAGATAATAATCCGAAGGCGCCATGTCTGTGCTGTATGGTGGATGTTGCATCAAATCCCACTCTAACGTGTGGAGCGTCATGCCGGTCATTGCACTAACATGTGGCCAAGCGTTATCTTGATGAAAGAGAATCACCTTCCTTCTGAGCTCGTTTTCTCGTTTTTCGCGAATCTCATCGCTAACTTTGATTAGCATATTGCTGTATATTTTACTGTTGATAGCCTACCCGCTTTTAAGGTACTCCTTGTAGATAATTCCACGACAATCCCACCAGATACGCAGAAGGACCTTCTTGTTAGTTAGCGTTCGTCTTGCAACCGAACTTCCTGATTCCCCGGATGCTGACCACCCTCCTCTACGGCTAGTATTGTTGTAGTATACCCATTTTTCATCACAGGTCACAATTCTGTTCAGAACGTCCTCTTTTCTTTGATCTCTGAGCAGAACCAAACAGGTCGCTTTTCTCTTGCTCTTGTCTTCAGCAGTCAATTCGCGAGTCATTCAACGGTTAAACTTAACTGTTAGATTTATGCGTTTGAGAGTATTTGCTATTGTTTTTTGGCAAATGTCAAGCTCTAACGCAATAGTTCGTGTTGAAAAATTTCTGTCTTGAACAATAATTTGCTTTAACTGGTCACAATCAACCTCAATAGGGCGGCCAGAACGTGGTTCATCTTCAATGTTGAAATTCCCAGTATTAAAATTTCGAAACCAAATTTTTACTGTATCCTCATAAGAAACAGTATTGAAATTTAAACTTTTACACATTTTCTTGTGGCATTCAGTTACACTTAGTTTATTTCGGAACTCATAGTACATAATGGGTCTGATCTGTTAACGTGATAGCTCCATTTTAAAAAAAATTTTGGTGCACAAGATGATAAAGTTTTGACAAACAAATTACACAGTTGTGTAGTTCCAATTTTCTGCTTTAAAATACTAAAGCCCGTTTCAAAAAAAGTTAACCACCACGGCAATGGCTGCTGCTGGCACGGAGGTATTTCCCTTTGGCGGAAAACTTTTTACTCAACCTGATATTACATAATTTTCAAAGTTGAAAACATTATTATTTTTAAAAATGAACTCATTTTTTCTTATTATTTAATGCATTCTATAATAAATAAACTATTAACCATTTTAATAATATATACTGTTTGCTAATGGAATAATTTCATTAGTTTCAAATATTTATTTAACCGGAAAATGTAGAACGAAATCAATTGCTGAAAACGAAGGGAACTCTATACATACTCTATACACAGCAAATGTGAACGGAGGAAACAAAACAGATTTGAAAGCAGAAAGTTGAAAAGGAAAATATAAAATAAATAAAGATGTAAAACAAGTAAGACCTTAGTAGGGCAGGAAAAATGACAGTGGACAACGGCTGTATTTGATCAATCATATCAAATTCACATAATTTCAAAAAAATTGGGATTTTTAAAAAAAAGACATAAATTTGCTAATTTTTAAATAAGTGGGTCATGCTTCTAAAAACTCAACGCAACAAGTTAGTTTAAGAAAGAATGCTAACTGGCCTGAGTTCAGCTAAATTCTCGTTTAAAATGATAAGAGAATTAACCCATTCAGGAGCAGGGAACGAGAAAAGAAGCATTTCTCCAGGCTCGCAGGAGTCAAAAAGACTCGTCTCATCTGTGACATCCGGAGCCGTGAAGAGAAAATTGCTTGATGTGTGATCACGATCCTGGTAGGATAAAGGACCAAAAGTTGAATATTTTTGCTGGAATAAATTGGAGTGTTATATGAATTAAATGTGATGTTGTTGTTATTGTTGTCTTGTCCAGCAGTGCAAGGAAAATTAAATTTGTTCAAAAGTATCTAAAACAGCTATTACTCCATGAGTAGCGCAATTGAATATTAAACCGAGCAACCGAATATTAAAGATAAATTATAACTATGCTGAACAAAATCGAAGCGGATAGAAATTATACAGTATAAACTTATTTAGTACAGTTCACAAAGATTTAAAAATTAAAATACAAACTATCTTATTATACAACTAAAAGCAAACACACGTATTTTAAAGGTAAATTCTTGCTTCTCAAAGTTTATGGTAGTATGGAAGATAACAAACTCAATACAATTCGTAATCGATCTTTAACAAACTACTGGCGATATCCAAAAGCTCCAGTATTAATGCTTTTGGAGTGAGTGAATGTAGATTTATAGCGCAAAGACCATGTTTTGGCTGCACTGCGCCTAAAACTAGGTTGATGTTAAGATCATTAGGTTAAGATTAATATAACTCGGTTAAAATTTGAACTAAATTGAATTTGGTGTCTTTGGAATCGGCAAAAAGTAGAGTGGTTTGTATTTGAAAGGTTTAAATCATAGAATAAAATCTAATCTGTGGTTTGTGACCGATTAAATCTGATAAAATTTGATATTCGCAGCCAAAGTGGCGTCCTATTTGAAATACGAATTTTTTGCTTGTGTGAGAAAACGTATAACTGTTAAAGGTTCCTTGCAAATTGAGCATGTTGGTACAGGTTCATTTAATAGAACATGTCTGTTCATTACGTGCGTGTGACCAATGCGCAGTCTGTTTAGGATTATTTCATATTTATATGAAAGAGGCGTCTCATTAATGATTTCATGCAAAACAACTTGTTATTTGCTTCAGTATCCTATTCATTTTGTCAATGTGAAAGAACTTATTTTCTATAGTGTTCTTGATATCTGAGAATGTCTGAGGTATACAGGTTAAATTGCATGAAGAGTTTGCTGCTCGGTCAGCAGTTTCATTGCCAGAAATTAAAGTGTGCTCTGGGATCCACTGGAAAATTATTTCATACCCTAAATTATTACGTAACTGTATCATCATATTAACTATAGAATGAGGTTAGCTGTATCTGTTTCATAAAGCATTAATACTAGTTTGGGAGTTGGTATTATATAATTCATTTTCTCAAATTTCGAAAATAGATAAAATGAAGGGCTGAAAATATTGCACATGATTCAGATGTAAAAACTGAAGAAGTTGAGTGCAATTTTTCGGATAATATAAATATCGGAGACAGCCAGGTGGCCCAGTGGTTTGCCTGCCAGAGTGAGAAGTCATTGGCTGCGGATTCGAATCCCGCTCTAGGCATGGATGCTTCTATCTATGTGTTGTCCTCTGACGTATGAATGTGGCCCACTTTATGAACGGGTATCAGTGGCTGTGTAGCGTGGGTAGTGTCCCACTGGGTAGCGTTAAATGAGCAACATTTCCGGCATCTTCCCAGGTTAAGGACGTGAAAGTTCAGTGCCTGCCATTAGGAAAAAAACATTAATGTCGGATTAAGTATAATTATAAGACGTAAAATTAATGTTAATAGATATTCCGTATTAGTATATAAATCACTCAATTTTTACTCTGAGTTACGATATCGAATCTGCTGAATTTTTAACGTTAAATGGCTGATACTTCAAGAAAAATGTAATTTTTTTTTAAATTTTAACCACTGCTATTTTTCTTCTTTTTTTAATTTTCGCCAATAAGCCAATAAGAAAATGTCATTTCTTAAATGTCTCTGAATTTAAAAATAAAAAATCAGGCTTCGTAAAAAGTTTGCTTCAAGTTGAATATCGTATTTTTAGAGATTTCCGTTTATCCGCAATCGGTATACAGACAAACACACAAACATTCTTTATTTTATTATGTGTAAACATGTAGATATGCTAATAATTTTTAAAAAAAATATGAATAAAAAAATTGAATAAATATGAAATATTATTTTAATTCAATTTAAATATAAAATATTTACATTTATCATGATATAGTGAATGAGTTTATATTTGCAGAGATTAGAGATCTAAATAATTAAAAACATAATCATAATTTTTGGAACTCAACTTTTACTTATTATTTAATGCACTAATTTATGTTAATCACTTTAATGATATATATCTCTGTGTTTGCTAATGAAGAAACTGCATTAGTTTGAAATATTTTATAAGTGGAAAATTTCTAAAGTAATCAAACGCGCAAAACTAAGGCACCCACACTCCAGACACAAAAATGTGATGCGAATGGAGGTTTGGAGATCTTAAAACAGTAATTGGGAAATGAATGAGCAGCAGTCAAAGAAACAGAGGGTGGCCGACGGCTGTATTCTGTCATATCAACTTCACATAATTTCAAACATTTTCGATTATAAAAATAATAAAATCGAAAACATCAAATATTTAGTAAT